ATGAATACTTTGTTTTATTTGACTATATCTCACAAAGGGTCTGAATTAAGTATGTGTACCCTTATCCACTCATTGAATTCTGGGTATTTATGTTTGGAAGACAAAGGCAGAGAGAAAAGGGTCTTCATTTTTCTCTCTGAAATTTTACAGTGTATCATTTTAAGAAATATTATTTAATACAAAGGATAATACCATAATGTAAAAGCAGAAAATCAAATTTTCTATCCTTATCCCCTATGTGATAAACTTTCATTTTGTCCTTGAAGTGCATAGCCTTTCCCTGTCACTTAAGGTTCATTTGAATTTAAAATACCTGATGGCAGCTTCCAGGTCTTTTATTTTTGTTTTTTTATACTTCTTTGTTACCTGTCAGTACATATATGTCCATATATGCATGTACACACATGTGTGCCTTGTAGGTACTCAGGAAATGCCCTTTGAATGACTTGTGAAACCAATGAATAACAAACATATGTACATATCAACAAAATGTTTCTGGAAAGATAGTTCCAGAAAAATCCCTAAGGAGCAAAGAATGGGCAGCACCAGGAATAAATGGGAGAACTTTCATTGACTTCTTTATACTCTTCTGTATTGGTTTTTGTTGTGAGCATATGCTATTTTATGATAATGTTCAAAGCGATGGTATTATTGAAATATAACTTTTAAAGCCTGGCTTAGGAACAGGCTAAGGGAGCATCTGGATAGCAGGAAAATGGGAGCACCTCCACAGAGCTTTCTCTTCCAAGATCATCCCTTGTCCACTTACGTGCCCATGAAGATATCCCGGGCCTCCTCATAGTTTTTGCACACCTCCTTGTCCTCAACAAAATCAGTGGCCAATGGGGTGAGGTCATCAGGAATATCATCATTTTCAACCTCGGCAATGCAATGGGATTTCTCAAGCACAGGCTTCTCACAGCATTCCTTTAGCTTACTGGAGATGGTTTCTTGATTTTCACATGTGTACTTGGCCAGATCCGCCTGCAAACAAGTTGATGAAAAACGTCCATGTGTCTATATATACATGCAAATGCACACCTCCAAAGTTTTCCTAGGATGTTCACCCTTCTCCTACCCCATCTACTCCCAAAACAATCGCTATGGGAATCTACCTGGATAGTTGTCCTCCTTCAGTGTAATGGGGTTTTCCTTCTCTCAGCTAAAATACGACTGAGAGAGGTTTCTAATCAGTAATGAATCAAATAGATCATTTGAAAAGTCAATAAACTCGCATAACAGTAACCCCGTGTGTGTTGGTAGAACTGTGTTCCATGGGGCTTTCAGTGATGGATTTTTAAAATTACATCACCATCCCTTTCTTTGAAAACACTTTTGGATAAACTCAAACCTCCACTAGTTAACTGAGCATGCTACCTGCACCACCCACCCTCCGACTACATTGAATCAGTAGGTTAAAAAAATTTTAAAGTAGTCCCATAAGTATAGTAGTTAAGCGTTCATTGGCTAACTGGAAAGACGGCAGTTGGTCAAGCAGCTGCTCCAGAGGGAAAAATGGTGGAAGTCCACTTTAAAAATGATGCGCAGCATTGGAAACCCCATTGGGCAATTCTACAATTCTAGTGTAGGAGTGCTAGG